ATATATATATATCTATATATATAAAGCAAAGTGGTCGGGTGCCCGATAGGGCACTTCCCGGCGCCGCAGGCGCGTCAAATTTGGCACGAAGGTGCCTTATGGCGATAGAACACGAGGGCCGGTGACGGTTCGGCAAAAAGTCTACGGAGAGGGGGTCAAAACTGACCTCGACTGACCGGCGCCTTATATGGGCTATATTACGAAAAAAAAATTCCTCCGACGACCCCCCTTGAAATTTTGTGAGGTGGTAGGAGAACACCTTGGGGTGTCACAAAAAACTCGGCATATCTGGGAAAACTTCGTAAAGGGGTCAAAACTGACCAGTTGTATTTCCCTATATAATCTTTGTATTTTATGGGAAAAACAGAGGGTCATTTCAAAACGGATTTTATGGCACTTACCCTCTTTACATCTGGCTCAGTTTTGGCATGCTTATAGGTAAATGGCTTGACCTTTAGGGAAAATTGTCGGTTACACTCAAAGCCCTCGACGAGGGCTAAAAAGTGACCGCGAGTGAAATTCTCTTTATATGAGCTCTATTACGAAAAAAAAATTCCTCCGACGACCCCCCTTGATATTTTGTGAGGTGGTAGAAGAACGCCTTGGGGTGTCACAAAAAACTCGCCATGTCCGGGAAAAATCGGGAAATGGGTCAAAACTGACCAGTCGTATTTCCCTATATAATCTTTGTATTTTATGGGAAAAACAGAGGGTCATTTCAAAACGGATTTTATGGCACTTACCCTCTTTACATCTGGCTCAGTTTTGGCATGCTTATAGGTAAATGGCTTGACCTTTAGGGAAAATTGTCGGTTACACTCAAAGCCCTCGACGAGGGCGAAAAAGTGACCGCGAGTGAAATTCTCTTTATATGAGCTCTATTACGAAAAAAAAATTCCTCCGACGACCCCCCTTGAAATTTTGTGAGGTGGTAGGAGAACACCTTGGGGTGTCAAAAAAAACTCGGCATATCTGGGAAAACTTCGTAAAGCGGTCAAAACTGACCAGTTGTATTTCCCTATATAATCTTTGTATTTTATGGGAAAAACAGAGGGTCATTTCAACGCAGACTTTAGGGTACTTAAGCTCAGTATATCTGGCTAATTTTTTGCATGCTCCTAGGTCAATGGCTTGACTTTTAGGGAAAACTGTCGGTTACACTCAAAGCCCTCGACGAGGGCGAAAAAGTGACCGCGAGTGAAATTCTCTTTACATGAGCTCTATTACGAAAAAAAATTTCCTCCGACGACCCCCCTTGATATTTTGTGAGGTGGTAGAAGAACACCTAGGAGTGTCATAAAAAACTCGGCATATCTGGGAAAACTTCGTAAAGCGGTCAAAACTGACCAGTTGTATTTCCCTATATAATCTTTGTATTTTATGGGAAAAACAGAGGGTCATTTCAACGCAGACTTTAGGGTACTTAAGCTCAGTATATCTGCCTAATTTTTTGCATGCTCCTAGGTCAATGGCTTGATCTTTAAGGAAAACTGTCGGTTTGACTCAAAGCCCTCGACGAGGGCTAAAAAGTGACCGCGAGTGAAATTCTCTTTATATGAGCTCTATTACGAAAAAAAATTCCTCCGACGACCCCCCTTGAAATTTTGTCTGGTGGTAGGAGAATCCCTTGGGGTGTCACAAAAAACTCGGCATATCTGGGAAAACTTCGTAAAGGGGTCAAAACTGACCAGTCGTATTTCCCTATATAATCTTTGTATTTTATGGGGAAAACAGAGGGTCATTTCAAAACGGATTTTAGGGCACTTACTTTCTTTACATCTGGCTAAGTTTTGGAATGCTTATAGGTAAATGGCTTGGCCGTAGGGCAGACATGTCGGTTTCACTCATAGCCCTCGACGAGGGCTAAAAAGTGAAGGCGAGTGAAATTCTCTTTATATGAGCTCTATTACGAAAAAAAATTTCCTCCGACGACCCCCCTTGATATTTTGTGAGGTGGTAGAAGAACACCTAGGAGTGTCATAAAAAACTCGGCATATCTGGGAAAACTTCGTAAAGCGGTCAAAACTGACCAGTTGTATTTCCCTATATAATCTTTGTATTTTATGGGAAAAACAGAGGGTCATTTCAACGCAGACTTTAGGGTACTTAAGCTCAGTATATCTGGCTAATTTTTTGCATGCTCCTAGGTCAATGGCTTGATCTTTAGGGAAAACTGTCGGTTTGACTCAAAGCCCTCGACGAGGGCTAAAAAGTGACCGCGAGTGAAATTCTCTTTATATGAGCTCTATTACGAAAAAAAATTTCCTCCGACGAGCCCCCTTGATATTTTGTGAGGTGTTAGAAGAACACCTAGGGGTGTCACAAAAAACTCGGCATATCTGGGAAAACTTCGTAAAGCGGTCAAAACTGACCAGTTGTATTTCCCTATATAATCTTTGTATTTTATTGGAAAAACAGAGGGTCATTTCAACGCAGACTTTAGGGTACTTAAGCTCAGTATATCTGGCTAATTGTTTGCATGCTCCTAGGTCAATGGCTTGACCTTTAGGGAAAACTGTCGGTTACACTCAAAGCCCTCGACGAGGGCTAAAAAGTGACCGCGAGTGAAATTCTCTTTATATGAGCTCTATTACGTAAAAAAAATTTCCTCCGACGACCCCCCTTGATATTTTGTGAGGTGGTAGAAGAACACCTAGGGGTGTCACAAAAAACTCGGCATATCTGGGAAAACTTCGTAAAGCGGTCAAAACTGACCAGTCGTATTTCCCTATATTATCTTTGTATTTTATGGGAAAAACAGTGGGTCGTTTCAACGCAGACTTTAGGGTACTTAAGCTCAGTATATCTGGCTTATTTTTTGCATGCTCATAGGTCAATGGCTTGACTTTTAGGGAAAACCGTCGGTTTCACTCAAAGCCCTCGACGAGGGCTAAAAAGTGACCGCGAGTGAAATTCTCTTTATATGAGCTCTATTACGAAAAAAAATTTCATCCGACGACCCCCCTTGATATTTTGTGAGGTGATAGAAGAACACCTAAGGGTGTCACAAAAAACTCGGCATATCTGGGACAACTACGTAAATAGGTCAAAACTGACCAGTTGTATTTCGCTATATAATCTTTGTATTTTATGGGGAAAACAGGGAATTTTCAACACAATTTTTAGGTTACTTAACCTCTGTACATCATGCTCATGTTTTGCATACACTTCTATAGATGACTAGGCCCTATGGAAAAACTGTTGGTCAGACTCAAAGCCCTCGACCAGGGCTAAAAGATGACCGCGAGTGAAATTCTCCTTATATGGGATGTATATAAATAAATTGACGAACGATCTCCTTAATATTATTTGAGGTCGTAAACCGACCCTGGAGGATAACAAAAAAACTTTATTTCCGTCGGAAAAAAGCCATTGTAGTCGTTAAATATGTTCATTTATCGTATTTTCTTATATAAGAATAGCAACTGTTGGTTTAAATAAACCGGGAGTGATCTCCCCTAAACTTTCTCGAATATTCTTATATAAAACAACAGGGGAATGGGAACTCGGGCTATAGACATGATTTTTAATCCATTTTAAATACTTAAAGTTTTAAAAATAGAATAAAATCTCGTAGACAAAAACATTGCACACCAAGCGAACGCCAAATAAAAAAGTGCATAATAGTGCGCAATATTATTAGTACTTTAAAAATTTACATTAGTTTTTTGAGAAATCGGAAGTAGCGTAAATTACTACTTCCGGTCAACGGAAATTACTCAAAATTTAACAGAAGGTAGAGAATTAAATCTTTTACTTACATGTGAAATTTCATTTATCTATCTGAAATAGTACTCAAGTTAAAGGCTTTTGAAAACTTCAAAGTAGAAAAAGTACCACTTCCGGTTATCAGAAATCTCTCAAAAGTTGATACGGATCTACGATTTTGATAAAATACTTATATATGAAATTTCATCAACCTAGCTGTAACGGTACTCAAGTTATCGTGTTTACACACGGACAGACAGACAGACACACAGACATACGGACAGAATTGCAAAGCCAAGTTTTTCTGACTGGATTACGCATAAAACCTCTTAATTTTGATAAATCTGGATTGATAATTTTTGCCCGATTAAAATAAGTCCTCTATACTTCGGATGTGATGAAGGACTGAGGTGTAATACGGTGAAAATTGTTACAATTTCAAGTGATTCTTGTGCACGATTACAATACTTTCTCTATACTTCGTATATGCGAGAAAGTAAAAAAGAAAACAAAGACATACGTCACTCGGTCTTTTTTCAAGGGAGGTAACCTATTTAAATAATTATTTTTCAAATAATTGTATACTATTTTAAACAGAAACAGAAAATGACAAAGTATAGCATTTGCTTTAGTAAAAAATTAAGTTACCAATTAAGCTACGTATCATAATTAAATTTTAAAAATAATTTTAAAAGTCAATGTAATAGAAATTTTTGAATATACTGTTTATGGAACCTCTGTAGTTCTATTTCCATTTTAGTCATAAATTGCGTACTTTCAAATAATTTCTTTCGCAACCGATGAGAAGCAACAATCAACAACATCTTCTCTAAAATTAGCATTACTGTTTAAATTTAAACACTCCATACCTCATCCATCACTAAATAATTAGTATTCAAATTATCAACAAATGCTTTTGAAAACCTAAGCGAAGCTAGGCAGTATGCCTAGTATATATATATATATATATTTAAAATCAATTATGTAGCTAAGACTCGGCGACGACTGGTAAACACGGAGACAAAGTAGATGTTATACTATCATGATATTATACCAGTTGACACTGAAAAGATAACATATGTTTCGCCAGCCTACCATACACAAGCTGTTACCACGAGCGTGCACCGTACCGCGCGAGGTGGATCATCGCAATTGTTCTATGTGAACAAAGGGAGACGAATACCGGCTATTTATTTTTTTATTTTTTTCAACTGAAGATGTCATCTTCTCAGCCGAATTCATAATTCAGTTTTCTCTAATTACAATCGAGGATCGTTTCGCTTTCAAGTTTTTGTCAAGTGTGTTTTTTGAATACTTCCCGCTGACTAACTTTTGATTTTCCGGAAAGCTATTTTTATTCGACCAATAGGACCAGAGTTTATGTGAGTACCTCATTAGCATTAAGTGGTCAGCCATTTTAGTTTATATCGGGGTCAGGAGAGGGGTGAGATAGCATGTTAAAATATTAAATACACCGTTGAGCTGTGGTACTGCTTTCTTTTTTACTTTCTCCTATATACGAAGTAGGCTATAGAGAAAGTCTTGTAATCATGCAAAAAAAAAATCAAAAAAAAATCGAGATTTTTACAAATCTCGACGTTTTACACCTCACTGATACGGAAAAACATAATTTTGCAATCTTGTCCGTATGTCTGTGTGTCTGTGTGTCTGAGTGTGTGTGTGTAAACACGATAACTTGAGTACCGTTACAGCTAGGTTGATGAAATTTCATATATAAGCATTTTATCAAAATCGTAGATCCATATAAACTTTTGAGCGATTTCCGATAATCGGAAGTGATACTTTTTTTACTTTGAATTTTTCAAAAGCCTATAACTTGAGTACTATTTCAGATAGATAAATGAAATTTCACACGTAAGTAAAAGATCTAATCGTCTACCTTCTACCAAATTTTGAGTAGTTTCCGTTGACCGGAAGTAGTAATTTACGCTATTTCCGATTTCTCAAAAAACGCTTGTAAATTTATAAAGTACTAATAATATTGCGCACGATTATGCATATTTTGGTGCGCAATTCTTTTTTCTATGAGATTCTATTCTATTTTAAAAAGTTTAAGTATTTAAAATGGATTAAAAATCATAACTATATCACGAGTTCCCATCCCCTGTTGTTTTATATTAGAATATTCCAGAAAGTTTAGGGGAGATCACTCCCGGTTTATTATGTGTGTACTCATCTTGTGATAACTATGAGATGACCTATGCGTTATAAGTATATATATATAAAATATGTATAGAAATATATGTAGCTATACACACACGCATATATATATATATATATATATATATATATCGATGGTCTCGGTCGCAAACCGTCTAACTCAAAAAAATTCGATTTTCTTTTTTTTTACATAAATCAAAAGCCAATATGATTCCCCATAATGCCTGAAAATTTTAGAGAAATCTGTAGAATGATTATTGAGATATAATCATTTGAACAAACCGCCTATTATTTCTAGCGCTAAAAATCTCGGCGCAAAACGAATATCGCTATATTTGTGAGTACACTTTTGATCGGGAACGCAGTCGCACGCGGTAATCACACAATTTTACAGCACAGCAGTCACAGTACTTATAGGTAAGGATATTGGATTAATTATGTTCAACTATTCTATTACATTTTATCATTTTAAAGAATAATAAAGAAATAGTATTTGTTTAATATAGCCTATTTCCAGATTTTCAATAACCAAACTGATTTAGTTACAAATTTTTTAGGCTAACACAATGCTTTGAAACTAGATCTTCATTCTAGAATTTAAATATCAATCAATACAATATTATTCGAATTATATTTCCACAAGAATGTGTAATAAATTTAATTATTGTTAATTCACTACTAGCTTTAGATTGAGGGTTTAGATACGTATTAAGAAATGTTTATATGGTAAGTTACAAAATGTTTGGCGTACATGTTTAACGACATGGTTAGTTGTCTTTAGTAAATGCTTTTATGATTAATTTTTCAACAGACAAGTCTATCTCAACACACCAGCCTCTCTCAACATACCAGCCTCTCTCAACATACCAGCCTCTCTAAGCATACCAGCCTCTCACAACAGACCAGTCTTACCACATAACAGACCAGCCTCTCTCAACAGTCAAGCCTATCTCAACAGACCAGCCTCTCTCAACATACCAGCCTCTCTCAATAGACCAGCCTCTCTCAACAGACCAGTCTCTATCAACAGACCAGCCTCTCTCAACAGATTAGCCTCTCTCAACAGATCAGCCTCTCTCAACAGACCAGCTTCTCAACTTATCCGTCTCTCTCAACAGACCAGTCTTACCATACAAGACACATCTCTCAACAGACCAGCCTCTCTCAACAGACCAGCCTCTCTCAAAAGACCAGCCTCTCTCAACAGACCAGTCTCTATCAACAGACCAGCCTCTCTCAACAGATCAGCCTCTCTCAACAGATCAGCCTCTCTCAACAGACCAGCCTCTCTTGACATACCAGCCTCTCTTGACATACCAGCCTCTCTCAACAGATCAGACTCTCTCAACAGACCAGCCTCTCTCGACATACCAGCCTCTCTCAACAGATTAGGCTCTCTCAAAAGACTAGCCTCTCAACAGACCAGCCTCTCTCAACAGACCAGCCTCTCTCAAAAGACCAGCCTCTCTCAACAGACCAGTCTCTATCAACAGACCAGCCTCTCTCAACAGATCAGCTTCTCTCAACAGACCAGCCTCTCTTGACATACCAGCCTCTCTCAACAGACCAGCCTTTCTCAACAGACCAGCCTCTCAACATATCCGTCTCTCTCAACAGACCAGCCTCTCAACAGACCAGCCTCTCTCAACAGACCAGCCTCTCAACATATCCGTCTCTCTCAACAGACCAGTCTTACCATACAAGACACCAGCATGTCAACTGACAAATCGTAAAGGCACCAGCATCTCTCAAAAGACCAGCCTTTCACAACAGACCAGTCGTAAAATAAAAAAAGACCAAACTCTCTTAAATGATCAATCTTACCATACGGGACAACATAATATCTCAACAAACTTGTCTAACCCTTTAAGACACCAGTAAATCTCAACAGACCAGCCTCTCTCAGCAGACCAGTCGTAATATACAAAAGACCAAACTCTCTCAACTGACCAATCTTTCCCTCCAAGATACCAGCCTCTCTCAACAGACCATTCTTAGCATACATTAGACCAGCCTCTCTCAAAAGATTAGTCTTATCCTACAATAGACAAGCCTCTCTCAACACACCAGTCCTACCATACAAGACACCAGCCTTTCTCAAAGAATAAATTTTAAAAATAAACACATTTTTTGTTACATTTTTGTAAAATACGTAAACATTAAGTCAGTATTAATGTGATTAGTGTGTTATGTCTCATTCATAATATATCTTACAATACGGTTTTTGTTTTTACTGTTATCATTCTACAAACCCAGCACCCACCAGATTTAGTAAAATAAACTGTGAGAATAGAAAGATGTAATAAATAAATCATAACCTTCAACAGTTAACAAGTCTAGTGCTAAATACAGACATAATGAATACAGTCGAAAGCGATAAAGCCATACTAAAACATCTCTACTAAACATCTAACTGACCCCATAATGTAGAATAAACTCACATAATTAAAATATGAGCCCAAAACTATAATCTAAATATTATGAAGCGTTAATTATAACTTAAAAACGTAAACATAACTAAATCACATTCATTGGACAAAACGAACGAACGCGGATGAGACCAAAATTCTCGGCTCAAAACAGCTACGTCTGCGCGCGCACAGATAGACGGTTTGCACCGAGAATTTTAGACCGAGCAAACCGTCTATCTTTTTAAACCTGCTATAATTTTGTAAATATTAACAAAACTCAATTTAAAAAGCTACAGTATAGTCGGTAGAGAGTTTCTTCGGAGATATCATTTAAAAAAATTTGTATTACAGCGATCGAGAAGGAAATAATCAGTTTTTTGTCTCTCCTGTAAAATTTACATTTTCGGAGTTAGACGGTTTGCGACCGAGACCATCGATATATATATATATATATATATATATATATATATATACCAATATACATATTTATATATATATGTATATATATATATGTATATATGTGTGTGTGTGTTTGTGTGTGTGTGTGTGTGTGTGTGTGTGTGCAAACATATTTTCTTTAAGCGCGAATAACATATATTTTTGCCGGATTATCTAAACTACGGCAAACTAGACGATAACGCAAAGCCTGCTGAGCTTAAAAGCCAAGACAAGATCGTGTGTGGAGTTTATGCTAGCTCGGAGCTAAAATACCTGCGATGTAATGCAGGATTACTCCTGTCCACCTTGACCTAGGGGCGGCCAAGTTTATGGCATGGCTGAACTTTTTTTTTTGTGCGCCCCGTCACGAAACGGTTGACATCTTACCTCGGCCCATGAATACATCCGGGCATTGAGGTCGTAAAACAAAACAATAAAAAACGACATATAAGGTAGCGTTTAGTCTGGGTGTAATTGTAAGGGAAAGTGTTTCAGGGGCGCTAACTCGTATAAGTTACCTACGGATAAAGCAATATCACAATTATGTTCATAGTAGTCAATCAAATTCAGTTTTGAAGATCATATCCTTGAGATTCTTATCGAAAAAACAAAACAACGAATACACTGGGTATTTTTTGTAAGATAAAACACGGAGCAATTAAAAAAAAGATATTTCAAACTGTTTAACCTTTACGAAACATCGATAGAAATAATAGCCCTATTTATTATTTCAATAATTGTTTTATTATGGGTTTATATGTGTTTTACTGCGTGTATATGAAAGGAGTTATGCGTGAATACTGAGTGTATTTTGTGTGTATTCGGCGTGTAAGCGTGTATCTTAAAAATCAGATGTTGACTGATAATTGCGACATACCGGCCCAGTAGAAAAAAAAATCAATGGGGTTTGTAAAGATGTTTTTTAGTTTCTGGCCACTGAACCAGTTAAAAGGCAATGCTTAATCCTATTGTAATGACGATCTTAAATGCATTGATATCTTAAAGGATAATAGGTAGATAATCCAACAATAACTTTGGTTGTAATTATCGGTGTATAAATAGATGTTGAAAAACAAAGTATATATATATATATAAATGAATAAATATATGTATATGTTTATATATATATATATATATATATATGCATGTGTAAAAAGCATTCACACACCCTCTATGCCTAACCTCCCCACCTACCCCACCACATCCTACCCACCACTTCCAACTCCTCTCCACCACACCACCACCTCCCAATAAGGCAATGAAGAGAGTAGAGGCAGGACGAACCCTTTGATAAATATAAATGCCAACCTTTTCCCTTGTCAACTCTGGTTTATAAGGCGGTGTAGGGAAGC